CCCTAGTGTTAGCAGTATTTTAGTGCACTTGGGATAGAATTAGGTTGTGTTTTTCTGGTTTTTCTTTAGTCGCTGCATAATTGAAGGTTTTGAAAAATTGGATTCTTGACTTTTTGGCTAATCATATTTGGGTTTCATTGTGTGACTCATTAATTGCTTCAATTTGTAACCATTCTTGCTCTAAAGTGTGCCTTAATTGCTTTATAACCACTGCTCTTAAGTGTTTCCAGGTTTTAGGGCAGCTGAGTTGCAGTTCAGTATTGATTTTGTTTGTTCTGTCCCAGAGGCTGTGGCACATTTGCAAATCCGGCGTAGCACCTCCCCTGTCTTACTCTTAGTGTAATACGCCATGGCGCCTTACGGAATACACAGCGGCACCTTTGCTTCATTGGCTCTCAGCAACTCTTAGTCATAGAGGCTGGGGCGCCTTTATCTAAAGGCTGCAGTGCCTGGATTTGATTCTTGCTTTTACTACTTTAGTTCGATTCTCTTAGTTGGTTTTGGTGCATGACTAGGGACAAAATATTTTATCCGTTAGATAGGGAGATAAATAAAACACTTAAACTTTTGAAAAAGAATAAAAATTTGGACACAAACACAAGCATATACCCTCACTCATCTTCTTCATCTAGTATTAGTGAGTCAATTAGACTCATATCTGATTCTGAATTTGATTTGGGTCAATTTTGTGATAATCATTTTGTAATGGAAGGGCAAGAGAATCAAGCTACTAATGAAGGGCAAAATACTGGTCAAAATAGGGTTAATACTAACCTAAATGATATTGGCCATAGACCTCCACAAAGACCCCCTAATAGGCAATACCAAGATGAGCAAGAAGCTAAGAACATGCAATACCATATCCCTAGGAATCCTGATGATGATAATAGGAGTATTAGGGAATTGAATAACTTAACTATTAATTGTACACCTAGGGGGTTTCATGTTCATGATCTTGGTTTTGAGATAAAAGGTGGTTTCATCAGTACCTCACCCAAATTTTATGGACTTGCAGGTAATGATCCATATCAGTATTTGGACTTGATGTATTCAGTTTGTGCAACCATAAAGCCTCCTGGAGCTTCTTTGGAAGATGTATTGAGAAGTGTCTTCCACTTTACACTTGAGGAAAATGCTAGACAATGGTTAACCACCTTCCTTAACATTACTAAACTCTAACATGGGAGCAACTCAAGAAAGCCTTCTTGGATAAGTATTTTACAGCTTCAAGAACTTCAAGGCTTAGGAAGGAAATTTATGGAGTATCTCAGCAAGACCAAGAGTCTCTCTATGACTATTGGACAGCTTTATTGAGCAAGTATCCAACCATCAATGCTCAAAATCAAACCTAGTGCAATACTTCTATGAAGGATTATTAGTTTCTTATAAGGCTATTGATGTTGCTGCACATGGATCAATCCTAGAACTCACTCCTAATAATGCTTGGAGTCTACTAGAGAGGATGGCCAACAACAATCAATAGTACTACACAAGAGAATCTCAAAGAGGGCAAGTGGCTTATGCAAACCCTTTATAAGATAGTTTGCTAGAGAGATCATTGCATATCACTGAAAATATGGATAAAAGAGTGGAAAATTTAGAGAAGCAAAGAAATGTGAAGAATTGCAATGCTGTCAACTACTCACAAGCATTAGTTGGACCATCATGTGAACATTATGCCTTAACCATGCATATGAGTGATGATTATCCAAGTCACTATGAGGAAGTTTCTGCTATGTACCAAGGTAGACAAGGATAGAGGAACCCGTATTCCATCCCAATTTGAGATGGAAGACTACTGATGATAGGCAATTGACTTCACAATAGAGATTTCAGAATCAAAGGCCACCCTTTGATTCAAATTCAAGAGTCATGGTTCCTACTCAAAACAACTCTTCTTCTTCAAATGATAGTATTGCTGAGTTGGTTAAAGCTATCAAAGAAGGAATAAGTGATTTAGGTGCAAGAGTTGCAAGTACTACAGCTTCTTCTAATTCCAAGCTTGTTGCCATGGAAAGTAACTTTGATAGCAATTTTGGACAATGGGAGAATAAAACAAACAATCTTTCTAGCTATATCACTCAACTTGCTAACTCATTAAGTGAAGTGCAAGCAAAAATTGGAGGAAATTTACCCTCCAACACTGTGGTGAATCCAAAATCTCTAAATGCAATATCTTTAAAGAGTAGGAAGCAAGTAGGCCCTAGTGAAAAGCAAGTGAGATTTACAGAAGAATGCTGTCACAAGGAATCAGATTCTTGTTCAGAAGAGGATGCTATACCCACTACATAATCTGAAAGTGGAAAGAAGAGGAAACTCTTGCACCAAAAGAGAGAATCTCACACACATCTTAGAGATAAGGAAGAAGCTGAACCTTCCCAAGTACGAGAATAAAACATAAAAGTCACAAGTAACAAGAATTCAATGCATACTTCTCAAGTGATTAAGCAAAAGAAAAGGATGTAAAAATTTCTGATTTACCATTTCCTAATTCATTTCTAGTATTTAGAAAACTGTTTGATGATCAACTTGAGAAGGATGCTATGAATTTGTTTGGTAAACTTGCTGTGAATGTTCCTTTACTTGATTTCTTGAAAGGAGCACCTAAATACATGAGATTTCTAAAGGAATTGTGCACTAATAAGAAGAAATGTAGACCTAATGAGAAGGTGCAATTGGGTTATAATGTTTCTGCCATTTTTAAACCCCAACTACCATTAAGTGTGTTGATCCTAGATCTTTCATATTTCCCTACCCCTTAAGAGACTAATACTTAGACTCTAGACCTAAAATTTGAGATGTTACAGTCTCTGAATGATAATGACTCTTTGTCAATATATACTCCATAAGATATAAACAGAATCACATGAATAAAAAAGTTGATTAAAATTGATTAAATACAATAAATAAAAACGCTACTTATTTTTCAAAAGCACCTTTATTATAAAATCTTTAAAATAATAATATAAGAAATAATCGTTTCAAATAAGATTTTTATTCTCTCATATTTCCCTACCCTCTATTAACTTGTTAGTTAAGAAAAACAAACACTAAATGAACCTTTCATGGGAGCACATTCCATGTTCATCATATTGATGAGTACATCTTAATTTGAACCATCCAGATTGTTTTGGATAGTCTAGATTGAATTTAAATTTTTTATATATTTTAATTAATATTTCATTTTAATAAATACAAAAATCAAAATAAAGATAATCTTATAACTAACACTTCTTTAAATATATTTATCATTGAAAAATTGTATGTTAAAAATTTTAAATTTTAGCCGTTCATATTAGGTTTTGAATAGTCTACGTTGCATTACAGTCATGAGCATGCTTATCGTTGTGATGAGCAAGTGATAAGCACCGAATGAGGACCCAAATTTCATGTTAGAATCTCTAAAGTTGTTAAAAAAAAAAGGTTCTACTGAAAAACTAAATATAAAGAACAAAAGTTTAAATTAAATGAGATTATTTCCCCTTAGTTTCCAAATCTTGTGATAAATTTACCATAAGCAAAAAAAAAATTGCAGTATTTTTAATAAAAACAAGATTAATTTATTTTTTTCTAGCTTATTAAGATTTAAGATGGAGTGATCAAATCAAGGAGCAAGCCTTTTAATGTTGGGAAAAAAAACACCAAGCCTTTTAATAAATATAATATAATATTAACTTACAGAAATGTGAATATTACAAACATAATCAATGTGTCCTTTGAAAATATTGATTTTAAGCGCAATAATATAATCACAACATATCGAAAATTGTGACTGAATTCGTAAAGTATTTTTTAGAAACTCATAGTTGTTGTGTGAAAGACTGTTCTTAACCGGGACCCCCCCCCCCCAAAAGAAACCAAGGAAAAAAAAATCCCACCGGAAATCTAATAAAAAGAATGCACATGTTTACATATTTATTGAATGATTCCATTAACTAATTAAACGATGAAAATATATAATAAGCAATAGAATACTGATCGAGGAACTGCACCCAACCACTACAAACACAGCTTTAGAAAATCACACACTAGACCAGTTCTTCAGTTCCTAAACATTAAGCTATGGGCCATAAAACCTCAAAGTCCGGACCAAAAACTTAAAATAATTTCAAGTTTCAATGCTCACGAACAAAATATAAAGAAAATGTCAAAATAAGGCGTCTTAATAAATTAAATAATGAGATATCCACTTGGAAGAAGATGCATGCATATACGTAGTTGGTAACGCAAGGGTCAAATTGCAGGTGACGAAATACTGAGTCTTTTTTTGCCTCCTGCAAGCAAATTAAAGACCAATATAACAGCATCCAAGATGGTAAAAAACATAAATGATAGTTCGTTTCATATAAAGTGCTAATTTAATCTCACATCTAAAGAAAACTTGATTCAATGCACAGATTTAAATATTTACTGATTGATTCCAAGAACTGATTAAATGATGAAAAGATATACTACCTCTCGTTCTTAATATAAGAGCTAGTTGACTAATTTAAGTGTATTAAAGAAGTTAGTTAGTTATTTGTAATAATTATAAAACTACTATTTGATTGAATTTTTAATATGTGTAACTACTGCAATGACTATTTTGAAAAAATAGATAAATATGAGAGATAAAATGAATTAAAATCTTATATTTATGATCAAATTGAAAGTTGAACTAGTTTTTATATTAAGAACCAGAGGTAGTAATAACCAAAGGCTCATTTGCCATAGCCATTTTTTTCGTCATTCTCAAACACAAGACTGGCCATAAAACCTCAAAGTTCGGATCCATAAATAATACAGATTAGAAGAGCAAGAAATATGCTTGTAGTTGGTAAAGAAAGGGTCAGAAGATAGGTTGCAGGTGAAGTAACACTGAGTCTTATTTGCTTCCTGCAAGCAAACTAAAGACCACATCAATGGTTTCTCCTTATAAAAAGCCTTTAAGTTCATTCATAAACTCATAAACACACAGGCAATTGAAAGAGGTAGAGATCCTAGAGATATATACGCACAAGATGAAAGCTGTGTACTTTGTTGTTAGCCTCTTGGCATTGGCTTCTCCTCTTGTGCTCGCATATGACCCAAGTCCCCTTCAAGATTTCTGTGTCGCACTCAAAGACTCAGCCACTCCAGGAGGCGCGCACACACACACACACACACACACACACTAATTATACTACATAAAGTTTTAGCGGCTTCATTCATTTATTGTTCTTTAGCAAACTAATTTACCAGCTAATCTCTTAAATTTGCTGTTTTTGTGAATGGAAAATTTTGCAAAGATCCAAAGGCAGTGAAAGCTGAGGACTTCTTCTTTTCTGGGCTGGATAAAGCAGGACACACATCAAATCCTAATGGCTCCAATGTCACTGCAGTAGACGTAAACATGCTGTATGGATTAAACACTCTAGGAATATCTCTTGCTCGCATTGACTTTGCGCCGAATGGATTGAACCCTCCCCACACTCATCCACGTGGCACTGAGATCCTTGTAGTGATTGAAGGATCTCTTCTGGTAGGATTTGCGACGTCTAATCAAGATGGGAATCGATTATTCACCAAAGTGCTTAACAAAGGAGATGTGTTTGTGTTTCCAATTGGTCTCATTCACTTCCAACAGAATGTGGGTTATGGCAATGCCATTGCCTTTGCAGGTCTTAGTAGCCAAAATGCTGGAGTGATCACTATTGCAGATTCTGTGTTTGGCTCTGATACCCCCATCTCTTCTCAAGTTTTGCAAAAGGCTTTCCAAGTGGACCAGAAAATAATTGACTACCTTCAGAAGCCATTTCGTGGTTAATCAATAATGCCTACTACAAAAATAATTGAGCGCTTTATAGATGATGATGATGATGATTATTATTATTATTATTATTAAATAAATAAAAAATTGTAGGGATATATTCCCAGATGCTTTATTTGATTTTCTTTTTTGATATGGTACTTATTTAATTTGTATTGAATTTGATGTAGCATAGCCTGCATCAATACCTTTCTTTTAGATTCACCATAATCGAATAATCTGTATGTGTGTGTGTTCTTATGTTGTTTCAATTTTATTTGTGTTTCATTAAATATAAATAATAAATTTAATTTTACTAATCTTAACGTTGTATGAACCAAACAACTTCATTATAATCATTATTACATTGCACTAGATTCTCAAACCATTAAATTCATTACATTCTCACTTATTCTAGGAACCAAATGGATCATCAGAGAATTATATTCTCGCAAACTATATTGAGAAAAAGTTCATGAATTTGTTCAATTTTATCTAATAGAATTTTTTTGGGAGAGTTACAATGAGGTTCTAAGAAAAAAAATTATAAAATAAGTCCTAGAGGTTGTTATTCTACTTCTAAAACTTGTCATTACAGGTTGCTCAGATTGTTATTGGGATCTTTTAGTAATTATTTCTCTTCCTTAAAATCTAATTGTAATTCTCCATTTTTTTCATTATATAACATATATATATCAAGAGAAAAATTTTAAAAAAAGAAAGAATACACATTTCTTTTTTAATTTTTTTGAGTATAATTGAGAGTATTCTCAAATCACTTTGAACTTAATACTAATCTCTATTGGGTCATGAGCACAAAGGTTAAAGCCCTCCTAACAAGTATGTTTCCCAAGATTTAAACTTGTATTTTTACCACAGCCATTATTCCTTGTAATGAGCGTATAAGGAATCTGATTGAGATGGATGGCCATTTGTTCAATCGGTTTTTCTGTAATGTGGGTGGGAATTACACGTGGTTTCCTATCTACTTTGAGAACTAGCAGAAGTTGCTAGCAAAACCTAAAGATGATGTCTGAGTAGAGGTGGTAAAGGTAATTAATAAAATTTTATTTAAATGTTTTATTCAAATTAATTAAGCATTTAATTAAATATATTTATATTAATTATTATTAATCGGGAGCTTTTTATTTAACTGAAGAAGAAATTTGCCATGACGGACGACCAAAAGTATTATGCTTTCACTAAGATAGGCGATGGCAGGAAAACTAAGGGGGGAAGGCTCTTCAATTCCAAGAGCAGCGATTGGACGAGGCCCTTCCAAGAGTTATAGGAGGACATGCCCGATGTCTTCGCCCCCAATGACTGGGCAGCTTTTGAGCAGTTCGGGATGACACCTGAGTAGAGGGTATAATTTTGCGGCGTTAATTTTAATTTTTTTTTTTAACTTTATACAATTGTTATTATTAACCATAATATTTATGTAGAATTTAAGTAATTTAATTTAATTTTTGTTTTAGTGTATTGCTCAAAGAAACACTGCGAACCACACTTAGCAGAGGATCCACCATATGGATATATGAAATATGTGAAATTTAATTCTTTTTGGATATATGAAATTCAATTATAATAATTATTTTTGTCTTTATTGGCAATAATTCTCAAAAGAGGTAAGACAGAACTCGAAAAAGGGCGGAGGCCTTCATATGGGGAGATGCGGCTGGTGCTCTGCAGGTATAAAGACGACACTCCCATGTCGGAGCAAGCAGAGGAAGTTGTCGTTGGTTAATTAAATTTATAAAGGTTTGTTGTTTTAATTTACTTTTCAAATTATAATTTGGTTGAATTATTTTGGCAAGAGCGGATTGGTTAAAAAGACATGGAGTTGAGGGAGTTTTAGGGGTCAGATGTGGATCCCACCACCTCACTGAGGGCGGGTCTACCCTGACTTGAGCATCTAGATGGGTTCGGGGACTTGGTTTTGGTGCCGGGCCAAGTTTTGTTTATGGCAGGAGTGGTCATCGAAATTATATACTAGGGAGCTCCCAATCAACGGCTAAATCACATTAGACGACAACAAGAGTGAGGAGGCCATGCAAGACTTCAGTTGAGGAGCCTTGAGGAAGTTACACGAACCGTGGATGCCAAGATACAAGCTCGTGAGGCTAGGATGCATGCTTGGATAAAGCAATGAAGAGAGGCTGCCAATGCCATGATGAAGATTGTGGGGTGGAAGTTAGGTGGTTCCTAGCGCCACTGCACCATAGGTCCTTGAGCTGACGCTCGACCACGATGAGTAAAGAGTTCTTGGGCATTTTGCCCCATTTCCTACCCAAAAAACAAAATACCTTAACGCTGACATCAAAATTCAACACCTATTCTAAACATGGCAGTGTTGTTACTGTCAGGACAGCTATCCGTCGACTACTATTTAATTAATGAAACAGCTCCATATGAGACCCATTTTATTAACCAAAGCCCGAAGTTGATAAAGACTTTAGCCAAAAAGACGGAAGCATTGGAAATTACCTTGTGCATAATACGATCTCACTATCTCTTAAGCCAGCATATTTTGAGAAATTCTTGCATGCTCTGGGTGCACGTGCACCACGTGATCTGTGCACTGCCCAATAAAAATATAATACATCACCCTCATTAAATCCCACGTGTTATCTCTCCTTCTCTCTTCATTTATTTCATTTAAAAAATATATCTTCAATTCCTCCCCCCTCTTGCCAAATGCGCCAAATCAATTTACTCTCTGTCCCCCCCATTGTTCAGTCCATCTCCCTTGACCTTCTATATCTTCTTCCTCTCTCCGTTTAAATCTCTTAGTTTTTGAGACCCATAAACTTAAACCTCTTTTGTTCCCCCACGAATATTAAGAACATTGCCAAGCGAAAAATGTCACTTGTGTGCCCAATGACAACTGAGGGAATCTGGAGAGGGACAAGGTAGCGTCCAAGAATCTTGAGCACCTTTGACCAGGTAATCTTGGCATTAGAATGAAGAAATCAGCAGAAAATCAAGCATAATGCATAATAAGGACACAGGTTGGAATGGAGAAGGGAAGCCATTGTTGATGGTTTGAAGAAGACAAGATGGAACAAAACGGAGAGACCGGACGTGAGATAGAGAGAGAGAGAGAGTTTCTCAAACTGAATCTTGTAGGAAAGAAGCAAAGAAGAAGAGAGGAAGGATAGTAGAGAATGAGTTATTTTTTGGGAATTTGATTTGACAGGCCTTTTAGTCGGGAGAGGGGAAGGAATTGAACATATATTTTTAAATTAAATAAACGAAGAGAGAAGGAGAAATAACACAAGGGATTTAATGGGGTGATGTGTTATATTTTTATTGAGCAGTGCGCAGATGACGTGGTGCAGCCTGAGTATGCAAGAATTTCTCGCATATTTATGCCCGGTGTTTGATTTCCATATTTGTTAGTTCTTACTTTTCTCTTCATTTTTTAGTGTTAACAAACACACTATATTTAATAATATGATATGCGACTTCGGTAAAAAAATTATTTGTCTTCCACTGCATGAAATTGACACTAATAAGTAAAATTGAGTAAATTGTAATTTATTCCTTTTGATTTCAAATATGAAAGCAAAAATTTACCCTGGGCACGTTGAGCTGCAGATGATAAGCTCCAATTAACCAATAAAGCAGCATCCAAGATAATGAAGTAAAAACATAAATTATAGTTCTTGTTTAATATGAAGTGCTAGTTTAATGTGACATCAAAAGAAAACATAAATAGCTGATTCAATGATCAGGTTTAAAAAAATAATGCTTATTGAGAAACTGCACCCAACCACTGCGCACACAGCTAGGGAATATTGCATGGCCAAGACCAGTTCTTCAGTTCCTTCTTAAACATATGGATGCTGGCCATAAAACCCTAAAGTCAAAACTAAAAACTAACTGTGAGCACCCAATTTTGTCCAGGCCCCACAAGAAATATTAAAAGAAAATAAAACGAATAAAAAATGAAATAAAAATAATAATAAAAGAAACGAATAAAAAAATAAAAATAATAATAAGTTTGAGAAATCCACAATGTGGCAAATCAAAATAGAAAAATTAAATAAGAATATCCCTCTTATAATAAATGACAATAAAATAAAAGATAAGAATTAAAAGACAATTGACCTCTAAATTAAGAAATACGAGGTGGAGTCTTTAAAAGAAGAAAATAAGAAAATTCAAAAATAAAAATAAAAATTTCACATCTAAGATGATTGACTCATCAATTTAGAAATATCTTTTGGGGTCATAATTGTGAAAATTTTAAAAAACGAAAATTAAAATAAAAAAATCATTATTTGATGATAATTTAGTGCTTAAATAGAAAGTTATATTATAAGTCATAATTGAAAAAAATTTAAAAATGAAAATTAAAGAAAAATTGGAAAACCCTAGTAGAGCTTATAAATAGGAGAGTAAGAGTTGGAGAAAGATACTTAGAATTTTTTGGTGAAAAAGGAGGCAAGATAGAGAACTTTTCTATCATTTTATTTCATTACAATGAGTTGAGAAAGAGAGAGCAGACCTAACTAGGAAAGTCCATTGTTCATCTTCTTTTTTCTACCCAAGGAAAGTTTATGCTCTTGTGATTATTATCACATTTGTAAACTTGAATAATGATGGCTAGAGAGCTGAATCAAATATGATTTGAGTTAATTCTCACTATTCCCCCTTTTTTTTTTATTTGTTTGAAATATGCCCTTATATATTATCCCCTATATATATATACTTACTTTGGTAGCTGCTTTCTTCTTTCTTTCTTTTTTTTTTTACTTTTATTTTATTTTTTTCCATGTTATTTTGCTAATATGTGAATATAGTTTTTTATTATTGGCTTATTATATAACGTATTCTCTTTTTTTAAGCCAATTGATAAGTGAAGCATCAAGTATGAATTTTCATTCTAATGTACTATGTTTAACTTAAGTTTCATGATGAATTACGTTTGAGTGTTCTTTCTTTTTATTTTCAAAAGTGCTTCCTTTTTAAAAATCTATATCGTGTGAGGTTTTCAGAACCTCTGCAAGTATCTAGAT